TCTTAACGAATTTTCTTCAACCAAGATAAGACATGGATTCATAAGAAAAGTTTACTCCATATTATCATTACAACTTCTTATGACCTTTGGATGTTCAGCATTATCTGTTTTATATAAACCATTTAACACATTTGTAATTAGTAATTACACATTACTTTTTGTTTTTGGAATAATTTTAAGTTTACCAATAATGATAGCATTGGCATGTTCACCTGTTTTGGCTAGAAAATATCCAAGTAACTATTTTCTTTTGCTTTCAATAACAATTGGTATGACATTAATAGTTACATTAGCAAGTGCAAGAACAAATTCAGAAATATTTTTTTATGCCTTTGGAACAACGTCTGTTGTGGTTGTAGGGTTAACCATTTTTGCCTTCCAAACCAAATGGGATTTTACAGGATGGTATGTCTATCTCTTTATGGCATTTTTAATACTAATGGTACTTGGAATTGTTGGAATTTTTGTTCGCAGCAAAGTTTTTAATTTAGTCTTTGCTGGAATTAGTGCATTCTTATTATCCATCTCCATCATTGTTGATACCCAGCTTATTATTGGTGGTAAACACAAGAAATATGAATTTTCAGTAGATGATTATATATTCGCTACTTTAGCCCTATACATGGATATAATTAATTTGTTTCTTTCTATCTTATCCATTTTTTCAAATTCCGACTGATTTTCCTGTGTTAAATATATTATATTATCACGACTATTACTACTAGTATTGGAACTACAATTCAGACCATTATCATAGCTGTTATTATGGCAGTTATAAGTACTATCATGTAACCATTACTGTAACCATTACTGTAACCATTACTGTAACCATTACTGTAACCATTATTGTAACTATTATTATAATTACTATTGTATATACAGAACACAAGTAGTGAGTTACCAAGCCGCCCTTTTCCTACCATCGCATGTGTATGAAATGTAAAAACGCACGTACGATATTCCCGTGTATATATATATATTTATGTGCATGTACAAGACACGGTGTATGTATTTATATATTTACACTAACGTCTATTGTACATGTTCTCCATGCTTTTTTTTTTTTTTTTTTTTTTTTTACGTTTTAAATATAATTAAAAACCTAATTTTTAATGTATAAACAAAACATGTTTTTTCATGTTAAAAAAAAAAAATTAATATAACAAAATTGAACATGTCTTATACTGCTTTGCTTTAAGATGAATCAGCTCGAACCATCGTCATGACGCAGCATTTTTATTGTTATGAACAAAATACAAACGAAGAGAGATATGTGTCATTCAAAACCCAAATAAACCCATCATTTTACACAATTTAGACTGATTAGTCTTGCTGTTTTTATGACCCTCTTATATTTAAATCTAATAATAATGAAACAGCATTGGGTGCAAAGTAGAATTACAAACTTTTCTTACGAGAAAATTTGAGTAGGTACCTGAACAGTAAAGCTGTAGCGGTTTATTTTTTGAACAAGTCATAAATTTGGTAAATTGTGCATGTCAACTTTTTTTTTTTTTTTTTTTTTTTTTTTTTTTTTTTCCCCCTTCGAAAGAGTGTATATATACTTAGCGTTCTATTCTAACATTAGTGGACATTCACGAGAAAAAAAAAAAAATTTACTACGTAAAGGCAAAAGGATGAAGAAATATATTATATGCTTTATCCCGTTAAGTGCCTTTCATATAAGTACATTAGAATTGTTGCTAAGGATTGAATTAGTGTTACCATATGCGTTAGCGTTAGTGTTAGCGTTAGCATAAGTGTGAGTATGAGTTTACGTCTTTGAATACATGTGCAATTATAAAAAGACACACCCACGTACGCATATTTACACACACACATGCATTTCTGTACTGCGTAAAAGTTTAATTATTTTCAGTGATAAACTATGAAAAGCCTCCATAAATCACAAAACAAGAAGACAAAAAAACAGAAAAGCAAAAAAACAAAAAAGCAAAGAAACAAAAAAGCAAAGAAACAAAAAGACACAAAAACAAAAAGGCAAAAAACAAAAAAACAAAAAGACACAAAAACAAAAAGACAAAAAACATGCATTCGCGCAAATAGTACAAAGCAACAATTCTTCGTCACAAATTCACGCGTCAATATTTCCCAAGAAAGGCTCACAAATTCGGGCCCATTAAACATTTCTGGCTATGCATACCTGCAAAAAAAGCCACAAACAAGTATACATACATGCACATCTATGAAATATAGCCACTTAACTTCTCCCACGTGTTTTTAATATTAAATTTTGGCGAATTTTCAACATTAAGAAAACTTTTCCTGTCATTCTTCTTCACCTCATGGTCGCTTTCGTTTTCTTTGTCGCTGTCCCCATCATTCGCTTTGTTCCTTGTCTCTTCTTCCTTATCTGTGTTCACAAGGGCATTTTCATCCTTCATCAGTTTCTTATTATCCAGCATTATACTTTTGTTACTAGGAACAGATAAGATACTGTTTGGGGAGATATTCCTTTTGACTAATTCGGACTGGCTACGTTCACTGTGATGAGTTTCATTTTCCTTTGTCTTTCTGAACCTTTCTCTATATTTTTTAAACAAGGAATTATCATCTGTGTTTTTACTTTTTTGTTTATTTTTGTAATCCAGATTTTCAAAACTAACGAATTCTCTGTTTATTTTATTTTCATGTTGCCTTCTTTGGAGAACTTTATTTTTAAATTCTCCTTGATCTTTTCTTTTGGTCTCCATGTTTTCATGATCTACAATGTTCAACAAGTTACAAATATAACCTTTTAATATTTGATACAATTTTTTATACCAAGGTAAATTTTCATATTTAGAGTTCTCATGCTTGCAATATGAAGAAAATTTCGAATCGCTAAATTTTTTTTTCCAATAATTTTTTTGGACACTGATATACTCAAATGTGTCATTTTTCGTTTTCTCAAATTCTGAAAACACTTTTCCCACCCAACTTATTTCAGTTTTCTTTTTTCTGTTAATTTCCTCCTTTTTTTTCAAGTTAAAAACTGATGTACATTTGTCCATGGAGTAAGCATAAAACTCGCCTATCCCTTTCATCTTTTTCCTCTGTGTATGTGTGTATTTGCGTGGGTGGGGAGGAATTGTAGACGGGTAGGACAGCAAATGGTCAAAATGCCAAGTCAACAAATTTACAAGTCATCAAATGTGCAATATGACAAGTCTACAAATTTACAAGTCATCAAATGTGTAATATGACAAGTCTACAAATTCATAAATCAGCATAATCACAAAGTTCCTATGCTACGATGTAGAACTGCTTTCAATAGATCAACAATAATTAAGTTTTAAAAACAATGGGAGATTAAAACATGTACGTTTATACTTTTTTTCTGAACAGACAATAAAAAAAAAAAAAAAAAATATGAACGAAATCATAAACGTGCATGTAATATTTTTTTTTTTTCATATTTCTAGGGCGAAAAAAAAAAAAAAAAAAAAAAAAAAAAGCTCTAAAAAGCTTGCCATGTTTCATTTACACTTGTTTATTAAAAGAGCAAAATGGAAAATACAAAAGAAAATAAAAAAGAAATTCATTATCACGTCATGTTTTAGGGACTTAACAATTATTTTCCATTCTTCCTTCAAGAACTGCAGGTACACATGTGAAGTTAACCTTAATAAGTTTCCGCATTTTCAATAAACTGAATTTTCCATTTGTATTAAGCACGTGCGAAATGCCCATATAACTCCTTATGTTAAACATTTCCTTTTCAATGAAAAAAAAGTTGGACTTATCAAAAGGGAAGAAAATCATTTTTTTTTCTTTTTTTCTTTAATGGAATTTCCTACGTGTACTTTACTCTACATCATATATTATAGAAGAGGCAACATTTTTTCCAATTTTGTTGTTACAAAAAAGATAGGATGTGCAAGAAAAAATTACCAAGGTTATTTAAATGGGCTAATTCTTTAAGCATGGTTGTCCCTCGCTTTTATACATTTCGATAAATCACGAAATACATTCTAAAGGATGAGATGCACAAAGGATATGTGTCACCAAGGAAATACTTACTACCTCTTATGGAGAATAACATTCTCAACTGTTGAAAAAGTAGCTAAGAGAATGTGACAACAATCCATAAAATAACATTGAGAAAACTCAGCTTTTCCATATTGCTATAACGATTGACCTACCATGCAAACAGTAAACTTTAAAGAGGACACGAAAAAAAAAAAAAAAAAAAAAAAAAGTTATACATGCATGTTCTGAAATGCTGTTCTTCATAATGAACAATGTTACATTCCTACTGCAAAAAGTAACAATTTTTTTTTGAGAAAAAAAAAATAATTTAATCAGTTTTCTTTGCTAAAAAAAAAAAAAAAAAAAAAAAAAAATGAAACATAAAATATGAAGTATGAATTATGAAATATGAATAAATTAAAAAGATCCACGAATTCACAATTTTCATTTTTCTAACAAGTTCTAATGCTATATAGTAAATGTACCATTTGGAAATACTACAATATGATAGATTCACAAAACATTCATTAAGTAAAATAATTTTTTAAATTGTATACGTATAGATATTAAGAGACTCTTCTTCCATTTTTATTTTATTTTTTTTTTTTAAGACGAAACGTTATTTTAATTCATATGTAATCGTGGTAGCACAAGTATACATTTTGTATTTTCTCCAATAGGACTTTTCTGTTACAAGCATTTGAACAGCACAACCAAGGGAAGAGCTTTTTTTTTTTTTTTTTTTTTTTTTTTCCCCTCCCATTTTGGTTCAGAATTGCGCTTGAGATTAATTTGATTCTATACTTTTGTTTTTTTGAACCATCATTTTATTCTCGTTTTCTCCATCTTTCTTCATTCCAGAAAAAAAAAATATGTCACTACTCAAGATAATATACGTAATAGTAATGCCTTTGGGAATAACACTACTTTTGTCTTGTCTACTGAAAATAAAATTCCTTGTAAAATTCAGCTACTCATTTTGCCGAAAGCAAATTGGAGATACACCCATCAGAATTGTCTCCCTTATATTAATTTTAAATTTTATTTTATTCATTACGGAATCGTACAAGTTGAAATATTCTGTAAACAAAATGCATAATCCCAAGGATCCCATTCTTGGATTATCAGACGAGTACTATAAAATGTACAAATGGAGACATGAAAGGAATTGGTGGATAGGGATTTCAAATTTGTGTATATGGTTAATGTTATGGAGATCTACAGGGATAATTAATCACTATGTGAAGTACTTAGAGCACAGAAAAACGCAAATAGAACTTTTGTGAAAGGGGTAGAAGGAAACTTGTATTCCGGAGACCCTGGTGGGCTGGCTTCACTCCAGGATTGCGAATAACTGTGAAAAAACTGGAACAGTTGCAAAGAGAAAATGTACTGCTTAACTTTTTACCTTGTTTTGCCCCCTTTAATTTGGAGATTCCTGCTTAGGTAATTGCTTGATTTGACTGACGACCGCTGGTACTGCATCCGATTGGCTAACACATTTGTTCATTCGACTGTACCTCGAATATGACTGCACAGAACAGAAGAAATGGTCATTATTAAGACACATGCATATCATCAGTTTTTTCTTTTTTGCTCATCCATTTATTCGTGTATCTGGCTGTGTTTTTTTTACGCAGTATGCACACACTATTTTTTTTTTTTTTTTTTTTTTTTTTGTTAATCATGATGTGCATTTGCCTGCACACAACTAGCCAAAAAAACAACATACATTATAAGATAAAAAACCTTTTTTTTTTTTTTTTTTCCAATTTTTCACATTAGTGGTACATATATTACTACGGTGGATAACCTTTGTGTATGACAAAAACGTTTAAATTTGCACATACTCCCTTTTTGGTATTTTTTTCATTTTCTATTATTATAAAACACTAGTTTAATACATAGAATTTGCTAAAGCTATAAGTTAATTCTAAACTTGTCAACAAGACAAAGCTTTACATTCCTAACAGGTTATAAAAAAAAAAAGTCCACTTTCCAAATTGGTTGCGACTGCTTGTTTAGCTATCTATATGAATATATCACTTACAGCATTTTATGAAACACCAAAATGTGTTAAAAGCATAAATAATTGAATAAGGCTTAAATAGGGGAAATATCATACAAAAGGCATAATATTATCAGAATAGACATTAAATCACTCTGAACAGTGATAGCACGGAAGATACAACTAAAAGCAAATGCATGGATTGTTTTCCCACTTTCCCCTAACAAATAATGCACTTTATGATAAGCAAATACAATGAGATGGGGTGAAGCGAATTTTATTAACAAGGTAAAATGAAAAAAAAAATGTGGTTAATTTTTAACAAAAAAAAAAAAATAAATAAATAAAAAGAATTCAAATGTGGTTAAATAACATAGCAGCAAAAATAACAAAAACGTAGTGATAAAATATACACGCAGAGAAATACGTGTTGAAAATGTCAAGCTAAGCAGTGAACAGCTGTCCAATTTTCCACCACGACAAGTTTTCACAAAAAAAATAAAATAAAATAAAAGGAAATAAAAGGAAAAAAAGTGTGGATCATATATATATATATATCCCTCTATTTTCTCTGCTCCGCTTCGGACGGACGCATGGAAGAATATGGAGCAGAATTGGGTGCCTTTGGATTGAAATTATAATTCTGGTATGGATAGAACATTGGAGGTATATTCATCATGATTCCTTGAGAGGTAGATGCACTGGTTTGATTATTTTTTTTCATAAAGTTTATATTCGTCTGATTATTCCATTTGTTGTTGTACCATCCATAGGGAAGAGGCGCAGGTGCACTTGCTGCACCTGGGGGTGGTGGTTGAGGTAAAAAGGGAACAGCTTTGGGCATTATTTCTTCCATAAGTAGAACAGTTAAATTGGAACCATTTAATTGTAAGCCATCTTTATACTTGTCTGCTGCCTTTTTGGCACTTTGTGAAGTGGCATATGAAATGAACATTTTGGAATCTTTAGGTATCATTTTAATTGATTTGATTTCACCAAATTTTTTAAAACATTCTTTAATATTTGCTTGACTAACTGATTCACTAATTCCATGAATACATATTCTATTGGCCATAAATTTATCCTCTTCATTTTGCTTATCATACCTTGTTAATATTTTTTCTGCTAATACATCATTTTCTCCAGTATACCTACTTTTAATATTCTGATTACTAAGGGATTTATCTAAATGTATTTCTTTGTGAAGATATGGGCATTCTGCTCCTCTATTACATTCATTTTTTCTCCAAAAACTACATACTCTTGCCATATTTCTTTTAAAATATGGATCTCTTCTTTTTAATTTTGACAAATCCATATTAATTCTATTCATCTTATCATATGTATCAGTGTCCAAATTTTTTTCTATTTGTTCCAAAAAAAAATTTCTATTTGTTTCATTTTCAGGAACAGCAGCAATACTAGTTTCAAGAAATTTATCCCTCACTTGTACAGGTAAATTATACTGTAAATCAAATAAACACGTTTGACATACATTTTTCACTTTTGCACACATATTACAAATAATCGTTTGTTTATATCTAGCCTTTTGCCCTGGTTTCCATCGAAAAAGTGTAAATGGATTATTACAAATCTTACACTCTTTTCCATTTTCTTCTTTTATTAATCGAACGTATGGATTTTCTCCTAAACATGTTTCACATAGGATAGGTAATTCTGAGTTCTCTGATCCCTGTTTCTTTACATCTGTTCTAACATTGTGTCCGTAGCGCTCCATCTCTTCTCTTTTTACCCTTCTCGTTTATCTAGCCCCTCCTCCCCTTCTTCTCTCTTGGTCAATCTTTATTATGTAACTATCGTGGTGTAGAACTGTTTCAATGATTACATAAGTTTTGTCGTGTGAACAAGTATGCGCACGTTTTCTTTTCATTCTTTTACCCCTCTGCAGAACGGGTTTGCGTTCCGTGTATCTTGATTTTGAAGCACAAAAAAAAAAAAAAACACAACACAAAACAACACAAAACAACACAAAACAACACAAAACAACACAAAACAACACAAAACAACACAAAACAACACAAAACAACACAAAACAACACAAAACAACACAAAACAACACAAAACAACACAAAACAACACAAAACAACACAAAACAACACAAAACAACACAAAACAACACTATTAGATCTTATGTCCAACGTATTTACCCCTCTTTGGATAATAAATTATGTGCTCATAAATCTCTTGGCCTACCCTAATATACATTCATAATATATCTATGCCTTAAAACAAAATTGAACTCCTAGTATGGATTTATACAAATATTGTTGAAAAACCAATGGCTGCTCTCTGCTTTGAATAGAAATATAAATTCATAAATTTCTCTTCTTAATATCCCTTTATATATATATATATATATATATATATATATATATATATGTACATTTGTGAACACGCTTACTGGGGAAGTAAACGCATGTAAATGCATATATAGCACTTATTGTAGCTGCATACGTTACATTGACACAAGTTTTATTCCCTCAATTTAAGAATAAAAAAAAAAAAAAAAAAGAAAAAAGAATTACCTGGGGGCAATCCTTTTAACCCTATTCGGTCTCTTATCTACCGGTTTATAAATTTATCAAGTAAATGAATCGGAAAAAGCACACAATTAATTTAATGTTTTGTGCCTCTTAAAAAAAAAAATAAAGTTTATTAGCACCAGTTGGGACAAAAACCTCTGTTTCTCCTTATGTTTATGTTTCTATTAGTATTTCCAATTTTATTTTTATTTTTCTCCCATTGCACGAGGAGCGTTGACTACGGAGATTTTTTTTTCTTTTTTTTTTTTATTTCATTTTTTCAAATAAAATGTGCGAGGTTTGAAATATGTACGGAGAGAGAATATATATACATGAGTGTATATATATTTTATGTAAGCCCACAAATTTGCAACTTTACAAGAAAATATTCAAAATTCACGATTTAAAATAAAAAGAAGAAAAAAAAAAAAAAAAAAAAAAAAAACTGGGGAAGAAATGCTTTTTTTTTCTTTTTTTTCCCTTTTAATTGTTTTCCCCCTCTCATCCATTATGGGATGCAAGTCCATAAAACAGATTAAAAACAACGTTTTTATATAAAATTTCTTTTATTATTATTTGCCCATTCCTCGTGGACAGCCACCCAATTTAAAGGTCATTTACATTTTCTATTCATGTGTGATATAAAACGGTTTTACTATAATATGTAAAAAGGCGAACATATCTCATATCTGCAAACGGACATATATAAGTAAATTCACATGTGCTTACTGCTGGATATAATATCCCTTTATTATCCTCCTCTTTCTCTGTCATGCCCATATATATGAAACAAAACTAAGAACACACTACAAATACCAAGACTTAAAAAAGAGTTTAAAAGGTAACAAAAAATTTATATAATATTAATAAAAAAAAAAAGAGGGGGGGGGGAGTAGCTATTTAATTATGACCTATGAACGTCGTTCTATATATACACTTTTTTTTTTTTTTAAATACAAAACTTGTGTAATCATATGTTTTAAATTTGTAAAGCATGGACTTTCTTCACAAATATACAAATGCATAAATTTCCATTTTATTTATTAAGTATGCAAAAGTGTACTTAAAAAATAGTATAGGGAAGGAGAAAAGAAAGAAAAAAAAAAAAAAAAAATTTCACACAATGTGCACAAAATTTATCATATTTTTTCTTGTCTCAAATGGATATATATATATATCCGTAATATAACTTATATGAAATAAATTACCAATTCTCTAAAAATGTAAACAAATCCACTCATCAAATTTTCCTCATCTTTGAATAGAGTGTATTAATATTCATTTTTGTTAACTATTTTTACATATGTATGTTACGTTGTTGTTGCATGAACGTATATCTATCGAGAGAAGGATGAAAAAAGACATACTCACACAAAGACATAAATTACCGCTTCCTAAAAATAGACTGTACCCAAATTCGTTTCATCTCCAAGTTTCTTTTTCTATTTTTAACAATTCTTGTTATATACTTATTTTGTACTTCTTCAAATAAATCATTTTCACAAAAAAGTTCCCGGAGTTCTTCGGTTTTGAAAAAGTACACGAATGTTTTATCACCTCGGACATAAAAATTTTCGGATATTTTTTTTTCCTTTTTGTTTGCAAATCTTACTTGTGTTAAATCGTACAATCCATAATCTCGTAACAAAACATAACCTCCTTTTTTCAAATACATGTGTGCATGGGAAATAACATTTTTCATTTTCTCCGGTTGCACAGAAGACAATACATAAATAAGCAAAACGATATCAACCGTCCCTAAATTGCAAATGTTTGTGGTTGTCTGATCGCGCGTTGTTATATCAGCTACACACGTTTTTATTAAACTTCCCATTTTTTTATAATCTTTAAATTCGAAAATATGGGATAACATACATGTCTCTGCTTCTTCCCCTGCTTCAGTCCCTGCGTCTTCCCCTCCTTCTTCTGATTCAGCCTCTTCTTCCTCATCATGATTGTTGGAATTATCAATCACATTGCAAATGTCTTTGTGCTTTTGCGAATACTTCTCTACATTGACGTGATTCATCTGGCCACTTACGCCTTCAACTGAATCATCACCTGCTGGTTCAGTTGCCCCAACGCCCTGTTTTTCCTTCATTGTATTATTCCAATTCATAATTTTGTTCCATTTTTCATTCAGAAGATTTATAGCATTTTTTGAAAAGTCTATGCCTATACAATTCAAATGTTCGTATTCGATCAGAAGCGGGATTAGCGTGTTTCCAACCCCACATCCGAATTCTAGTACTAGTTTTTTCCCTCGTGTTGCTTCAATTTCTCTGTCTTTTATTTCTTCATCAATCTTCTCATTCACCAACGTTTCTTCCTTAAAAATATGATCAAATTCGATTTTTATCCACTTTCTATCTTTAAAAAAATTGGTTTTATAATGATGATAAAACTTATCCCAATTCTTTTTCCCCTCCGTTATTAGTTTTTCCTTCTGACACGTCCGCAAAACCCTTCTATTATTTTCAACAATTTTCTTCTCATTTTGCACTGCTTCTTCTGAAAGAGTAAAATTTACTACAATGTCAGAATCGAAGAAGGGTCGCATATTTATTAATAATGAAATTTAAGGGGGGTAGAGTGGGATGGAAGGGTGTTAAATAGGAAGAGTTCCTAACAAAAAGGAGTAAACACCCCCTTAAAAAAAAAAAAAAAAAAAAAAAAAAAGCCTGACTTGTTCATGCGAATTAAAGATACGTTTTCTCAGTTTTGTTCTTTTTTCTGAATTTTTTTTTTTTTCTTAGCTAGCCATTGTTGTGTTGAGTTGGCAATTTGCGTCATTCTGGCTACGGTACGAAGTTGGAAAAAAAAAAAAAAATTAAATAAAATAAATAAATTAAAACTTTGGAAACTTTTTTCCTCTCCCAAGTTTTGTAAAAAAGATAATCTAAAAACTGTTTTTACATGCATAGTAAACCATTTAGGACATTTTATGATCCTTAATTTTGCAGCAGAAACAACTCCCGTAGAGACTAGAAAAAAAAAAAAAATTACAATTATGTCAGAACTTGTTGATTTTATATATGTGATTCTTACTAAACGTGCATATACAAATTCTTTTACAGTTGTTCGCGTACAGGCTTAGCAGATTTGTGCAACTCTTAGTAATGCATGTATAAGTACCAAATGTATATACATATATATATATATATATATACATATACGTATGCGTGTATATGAAGAACAACGCATTTCCTGGAAATGCCTCAAAGAGAAAATACAAAAGCGACCGCCCCTAAACCTGTTATGAAGATAGCTGAACATTGAGGTTTAACCGATGGAGACCTCTATTTATAGGAATACATCTGCACATAAACGATGTTATCTGAAATATCTTCTGATTCTATGTCCTTCTGTAATATTAAGATGACATTTTTTTTTATGCTATGAGATAATCTAAGCACCCGAATTAAGTCTCTAATAACATCGCTTCTACTGACAGTGTACACAACGTAAGCTGCGTGTGTATATTTTTCACTACTCAAATAGAGTAAATAATCTGCACCATATATATCTCCCTCTTTGACAATGTAACCAGATTTTTCGAAAAAGTTAACATAATTTAATTGCCACTTTTCTTTTTTATGAGCACAACTGAGTTGGTTATTTCCTCCTATTGCATTTCTATCATTACCATTTATCTTACCATTAACAAAATCATTTTCACTTTTAAAACAGAACTGCTGGAAGTTCAGGAACTCTGTCTGTGTTTCACAATCGTAAATGAAATTTCCATTTCTGCACTTTTTGAAATTCTTTTCAAATGTTTCGATGACATAATTGTCAGCATTCTCCTCATTAATCTCTAGTTCGTAGTTCTCTTTTTTATACTTATAAATTATTTTCATTATAAATACATAATTTCCCATACACAACTTTTACCAAGAAATGTGGAGGAGGCATAAAAGAGGGGATACGATACTGTGTTTTGACCTCTGTACATCAAAAGTGTATGACTAGGTATAGGGTGACAACATAGAGGAGAGGAAACTACATGAAAGTTGATGATGAAAAAAGCTAGCAAATGCTTTTCGCCTAACAGGATAATATCTTTATATGTGTGCAGAAAAATTGTTCCTCCTCTATGTCACTTTTTTTTTTTTTTTTTTTCTTTTTTTACCAAAGTTATAAAAATATCTATTTTTACACATGACTCAAAATTTTGAATGTATATAAAAAAATAGAATTTTTCTCTTCCTCATTGTTAATGAAGAGGATTGTTCATCCATTAGTATGATGAAATGATTAATAGTTATACCAAAAAAAAAAAAAAAAAAAAAAAAACTTATACATGCTAATTTAACAACTTTTTCCTATTTTTTTTTTTTTTTTTTTTTTTTCTTCTTCCCTTTTTGCATGTTCAGATCACTTAACAATTCGCATGTGGGAGGGTAGAAGAAGAGCACAAAAAAAATAAAATAAAAATAAAAAAGAATAATAGTAATGGTAATAAAAATAATGTGAATGTGATATGCGACTGAAAAATAACGTAAATAAAATGCAATTAAAAAGTTGCCAAGAAGTGTATCGTGTGAATAGTTAGAAAACGTGCGATAAAATCCAAATGAACATAGAAAAATACTAGTTGAGTGAAAATAAACATAATACTACATATTTTATATTGACATAAAATTGGGGGCCTCGGATATGAAAATACAAAAAGCTTGCTTATGAAACGTCTCTCCCCGCAAAAAATATATTTTCATCGGAGGCGTGGTGCAAAGAAACGATAAGGTGTACCACCAGATCCTTTGATGACACTATAACCATCTACATTTTTGTAAGTAATTACATATTTATTATCTATATTTCTTATATGGGATAAGATGTTTTTTTTTAAATTAATTAAAGAGTTATATCTTTTTTGAAGAATAGCAGCTCTATTTTTCACTTTTTTATTTTCTGCTTTAAGTACATATGTATCTTCATTGTCATTATAGTACTCATGGGAATTGTTAAAAATGTATCTTAGGGGGACATTTATCTGATAATTGTCAATAGCTTTATTAATTTTTTTTAATTTTTTATATAGCATATTAGCTTGCTGTGTTAATTCATCTCTTTTATGTTTTAACTTTACTTCTTCCTTCAACACTTTTTCTTCTTTTATTAATTCATTTGTATCATCATTTATTCTAGAATGTATCATACCTGTATGAAATTCATCTGGATTCTTGTTCATAATCTTCTCTTTCAGCACATTTTCAATTTTTTTTTTCTTCTTATATATTTCCCTCCTTTTTCCATAGTCCACCTTTTTTTCCAATTCTCCCAGATACAGTCTATGTTTCGCTTGCCCCCTCTCCTGATAGCTCCTTTTTGGAATTACATTTTTGTAACTCGACATTTTTTCTCCCTAAATCGTTTCTCGTCTAAGAGCACATTCAGAAATGTGTTACTTCTCTGTTACTTCTCTGTTACTTCTACGCTACTTCTACGCTACTTCTACGCTACTTCTACGCTACTTCTACGCTACTTCTACGCTACTTCTACGCTACTTCTACGCTACTTCTACGCTACTTCTACGCTACTTCTACGCTACTTCTACGCTACTTCTACGCTACTTCTACGCTACTTCTACGCTACTTCTACGCTACTTCTACGCTACTTCTACGCTACTTCTACGCTACTTCTACGCTACTTCTACGCTACTTCTATCTGTACATGCGTCTCTGTGTGCGTGCGTATGTATATGGCAAATCTTCTTGTGAAGTTCTCTCAGCTCTATTATTAAAAATGTGAGTGCAAAAAATAGTGCCGTACTTAGTGTAGCTGTCGTCTTCTTAAATCGGTCTTATTTTATTTTTTTTTCTTTTTTTTTTCTCCCCCACTCAATGAACTATATGAAAAATTGAAGAAAGGCACCAACAGTCTCTCGATCAGAGGTGGGTGGGCTTTACCACACAGATATGTAGTTTATCATGTGCTATGATGGTATGGGTATAAAATTTGCTTTTTACTCTTTTATGTTTAATTTAATGCCCCTCAAATTATGACCGCTTAATTTTTTGTTCCTTTTTCTCAAAAGAAATTCTTAGTTTCTTTCCACCTGTGCAAAAATTCATCTGTGGGCATAAAAATATGCTTGAGGAAAAAAGTTGCATTCCTTCCTTTTCCTCAAAATTAATAAAATAAAGGATGTATAAGCATCGTCATAAACTGGGGAAAACAAAGTAGCGATTCTGCTGAACGCTGCATTTCGATCTTTGGCTCCTTTTTTTTTCCGCCTTCTTTTCCCTAACTATTTATTCCGGTTTCTTTTTCTTATTTTGGTTTTTTTTTTCCCCCCATATGTATATTCTCCTTAGCTAGCTACATATATATATATATATCTAATATATATGTAAAAGCGATGCCCCTATTTCTTGATATAATACGTGTGATAAAAATATATAGTTGTTGCCTGTGGAGTAATGCTCCTTTTGTGAATAATTCAATTCCCTAAGGTTTTCTATAATCCATTACAATCGAAATAAAAAAAAAAAAAAAAGAAAGGCGCAGAAATGCTAATAATTGTAAAATATTTTTAAGTTCGGGCCGACTTAACAATACAAAGATAGATAGAGGGTAACCCCACTCTTCAATAATTTGAAGCTATTTACCCACCGGCTGAATAACGTGAAAAAAAAAAAAAAAAAAAAAAGAGAAAAATTACGGCCAAATTACGGCCCCAAATTGAAATTTAACTCCTCCGAAGCAACCCTATACCTATACCCCCCTTCCCCATTGACATGTCCCGTGCATTGAATATTTTCTTTCCCCATTTACATTTCCCCAACTTTTTCTTTATTAAAAAATTAGGAAAAAATTTTAATTTATGTTATAATTCCTCATCAACATGCACTTTTTTAGTGAATTATTTTATTTTATTTATTTTTTTTTTTTTTTCCCCCACTTAAAAAGGAAATGGCAAAATGTGGACGCGCGGAATTAATTTGTGGTGCCAACCCCCCAAAGTTTCTGCTTTCATTTCAGCAACAATGATATAGAAGAAGAAGAAGAAGAAGAAGGAGAAGAAGAAAATGTAACAGCAAAAACGTGCGCGTGCAAGAATAAAGCATATATCATTATCTACATTATTAAAATATATGTATAATATATTAGTGCATACATGTACAAATTTATATACCGCTTAAATTAAATGAATGAATAAGTGAAATGATATGGAAATAGTTTTTTTTTTTTTTTTCTGTTTTTCCCTCGACCCCGTGTATATGTATAAACACAAAATGCACAAATTGTATTATCACAAAAGAATAAGAGGGGTATGTCATGGCAAAGCCATTAACTATGACAAGTTATTTCTTATTTTCATCATTCTGAAAATTCATATTGAAAAAACTTTTTGAAAAGAAATACGTGACCACATGCGGCAGCTGATCTTATGATTCAAGCACACGCATAAGTGGTAGTAGGTGGAATATTTGGGTATACATATTAGTACGAATATTTCTCACAGCTGATGTAGGATAGCAAAAACTTTGCAACATAACATTGATATGCAACAGCAACAACAGCAACAATAGCAACAGCAACAATAGCAACAGCAACAATAGCAACAGCAATAAAGAAAAAAAAAAAAAAAAAAAAAATTCTTTTTTTTTTTTTTTTTTCTCTTATTTTCTCTTTTATCACACATGGTGGTAATGACACCATGTTGAAGAATAACCTGTGCGCCTTGTTCCCCGATGAGATACGCATCCTTTGTTATGAAATCTTTTCATCCAAGCCAACCCTTGAGATCACGACCTCGACCACGATTAAAGTCTGGATCAAGGTAAACGGCCTGTGATTCAATACCTCCTAAATTTACCCCCCTCTGATATTTTATATACCCTTTATAACCCCAGGTAATTCCCCAAGTATTTCTGAGAATCCAGTACTTAACAATTGTACCTTTTTCATTTTGATGTTGTCCCCAACCAACTATTGTGACAGCATGATTAGTTTGTTGCCATCCATTAAAACCTTGATTTGGGATATCACATATTTTATTTTCATGAATTTGGATGTCATATATAAAATTTTTATTACTTAAGTTGTATAAGTTAAGCAATTGAGGTGTGGCATTAATTGCAGCTACTATGGGGCCATTTAAAAAAAGTTCGTTCATCATGTCAAATTCATTTGAACACTCATAGCATCCGTTAATGTAGTTATAATCGGAGGCATAGAAAATGTCACCATGTTTGGAATTCTTGTATCCTTCATTGTTGTATTCCCCATTGTTGTATTCCCCATTGTTGTATTCCCCATTGTTGTATTCCCCATTGTTGTATTCCCCTACAACTAGTTCGCATTTAATATAATCATTATTTCCATATCTCATAACATTCTCTGTGGTTGCTCCAAATTCATACAACTGCTTTCCAACCAAAAATGGAAAGCCTCCATCACACCCCTGATTATACGGAGAACAACTTAGGACGGATTGATAAGATAATTCTGGCATAGTAATTTTCTTATTTTGTTTTTTTAAAAACCATATTTCAAATCTTTTCTGCAAACTATACAATGTAGAAATGGAATAGCAACTTCCGCAATTCATTTGATCTCTTACATCATCATTCAGATTGTCATTAGTAAATGGGTCTCCCCAACTGAATTCAATTGGAAGTGTCAAGCGAATCTTGGTATTATCAATATTTTCCTTTCGACATCCATATATTTGTTCCTTAACATTCTCATAGATTCTCACTTTTACCGAGGGGGGTGGAGGGGGAGGGATGAAAACAGAAATTGGTAAAATTGGTAAAATTGGTAAAATTGGAATGTGTGCAAGCGGTCGACAGAACGAAAGTGTTGTACAAGTGTAGGTGTGTACGTATGCATTCATACATACATCTGTTTATAATATGAACACCCATGGAGAGAAACAACTACACAGCAAAACGGACACGAAACCAAAATTTTTTCACAATATATATATATATATTTCTTACTCAGACGCGTTCTTGTCACCCCGTACAAATTATCTGTAGATATTCTTATTTTTTTGTAATTTGCTCTTTGTTCAATTGCAGAAAAACTTAATTGCTTCATTGGAATTGAAGATACCTCTTCTCTGAAGCAGAACATAAAGAAGTAAAAAAAAAAAAAAAAAAAAAAAAAAAAAAAAATGAATATTATCTATTTACACAAAAAGTGGCAAATGGAAAAAAACATTTATGCATGTAAATAAATATACATCCCCATTTCATCATATATGTAAAAAAAAAAAAAAAAAAGAAAAAGAAAAAATGGAGTTTTCAGGAATAGCTGTTTAATATATTTCTCCTCTGATAACCTCTAAATCAATTCAATGCATCTAGCTTTGCACTTGTATACTTTTTTAATCTTTACCTGCCTAGGTGACTTCCCTTACTTCCATACAAGCTATGAATAACAAATGAAGACACATCTACTTCTTCATGTTTTTTTCCAAAAAAGCATCCCCATTGAAATATTTTTTTTTCTTTATCTCGTTGATCAACTTGTTCATGTAAAACCCATCCAATTAATGTTTTTGTTGGGTCTGTCTTATAACAGTCAATATCAGTGGATTCCTTATCTGAAAAAAAGAAAAAGAGAAAAAAAAAAAAAAAAAAAAAAAAACAAACAAACAAGTAATTGATTCTTCATTTTGGAAGATATAAAAAAACTCATCAAATGTACCACGCTTTTGTGTGTCTTATTCTACTTTCTAAAGGCTGAGGACATCTTTTCGATATTACTCTTTCATATTTAAAAAAAGCTGAAAAAAAAAAAAAAAAAAAAAGAAAAGTTGTAGTAGAGAAGCCGAAGTGGTGATATGCCTTCTAGTGCTATGCTTTTTCAGAGAAGCTGAAAAAAACAATCCTCCTTTCTTGTTTTCTAAAAACAGGATAGAATATCCTACCGAAATATCTCTTCCCAGGGATTCTAATTTCAAACCCTTCGTCATAAACCATCGTCCTTTGTGCCAAAAGTAAGCAAACGTAAAAAGAGGTAAAAAAAGAAAAAAAAAAAAAAAAAAGGGGGAATTAAGAAAATCAGAAGAAATATCTGTACAGAAGAAGAACAAGAAAAGGAATGCACTAACCTGAACGCAGTACAACCACGTCCCAGTCCGTGTAACCCATGTACACGTGTCGAATGTGTAATGAAATGTCCAATTGTTTTCCCGCTTAACCCGTGAGAAACAGATTAATCACACACACATACAGACACTGTCATAAAGTATAGTTTTTGGTTCTCTTACCAATGCCCAATAATTTCATTGTTTTTAGAGTCTTTCACTGCTAGGTAGGTCCAATTGTTTCTCGGTATGATCCTATCCGATAATTTAATTTTTTCAGTAGACATAATGATTGATATTGTTTCTAAATTCCCGTAATTATTTTCCATGAATTGTTTATAATTTCTTATCTCTGTATGCCCAGGGGGAGGGGTTAAGTGAGGATCGTCAGACGGAGTCTCGATGTGTTAGTGCTACCGATTTACTTACGCTCAAAAGGGTTCAAACCAAATCGCCACACAGACGCAAATAAGTGTGTAAGTAGTTGTGCATGTAAACAGTTTTGCATGTAAATAGATATGTACGTATGCACGTAAACAGTTGTGCATATATAAGTAGATATGCACGTATGCACGTACACGTGTTTTGGATTGAAACCTACGAGGACGTAAATTTTCAACGTTTCTGTTTGGAGTCCCTGCACCACAATTCTCTGGCATCCAATACGTCTCCTTCGTTTGACTAATATCCCAAATGCCAATGACATCACCCTGTGCAGTAGGGAAAAGAAGGATTTCAATACATTTCAAAACACTTCAAAACATTTCAAACTTTTGAAAATGAGATAAACTGGATATCAATGTGCAGTGTGTATTCCTATCCCTATTTTATTATTTTTCTTCTTTTTAACACATAACAGGAAAATTTGAATTATCAAGGAACATTTTTTTTTTTTTTTTTTTTTTTTTTTTTCCACTTCTTTAAGGAGTTCCAAAAAAAAAAAAAAAAAAAAAAGAGGATTCATAACTTCGTGTACCATGAAACATTTACAAAATGTATCCCATTTACTTACAAATTTTATATACAAGAAAATAGACTCTGGAATTTTCTCTTTCTTCCATCTATACCATACATGTATGCATACACAGATTAAGCAGACACAGTCGCATGTGTTTGTGTGTGCGTGTGTCTGTTTTTTTTTGTTTCATGTTCATACCATGAGAGCGTGTATTGGAAGGTCTCCTTTCACAGAACCAATCAACATAAGAAGAAATGTAAGTGTCAGCAAATACTTCATTCTAGGATGATACTTCAAAAAAATTGAATTTTGTAGGACAGTACAAAGAACAACAATGTTATCTTTTCCTTTTGTTGTACACATTTGCACTTGCAGATGTATGAAAAGAAGAGATGTATTCGCACCCGTTTTTGTTCTGTATAATATATAGGATCATTGGCTTTGTATTATGTTTAATCTGAGATACCCTCA